GGATACCAGAAGGAATCATTGAGAAGTGTGATGAGAAGGAAGGTGGCTAATGTGCGTTGTATCGCAAGAGGTTCAGCTGGAGATACGATGAAGATTATTCTGCAAGGAAGGTGGATGGGAATATGTGAAGAGGAAAAGGAAACTCATCAGTTTGGTGGGACTATGTGAGCAGTTGGAGGTGCTTTGGGATGCCGAGCCAGTCAACCTCGCGTGAAAATCTTCGCAAGAGATTGCTTAGAAGTGGAAAGCATCCACCATGGAGATCGGACCCTCCGTTACGAGGATGATACGAGGCAGATAAGACAGCAACACCGTGGCCTCGTGGCCTCGAGTAGAATCACGGCGCAAGTGCCCGCTCGCCAACCATCACAGAATCACTCCCCTATACGTCCACGCAAGCACGAGCACGCACGAGCGCCTTAGCCTGTCACGAGCACACACGGCGCGAGGCTTAAGGCCGGGGCGGCCACACTAAGCCGCCGAAGCCGGGTCGAGGCATGCACCTGCGCACGCCCGTCGGCACCCTCCCCGGCCCGTGCTCTGTCATCGGGCGGCCGTTCCCCAGGCCGCAGCAGCTGACGCCGACCGTCAGCTTTATTGCCTCAGTCGCCAATTTACCGTGGCGGAAAAATAAAATTCCATACCATCGCACCAGGGCACCCCTATTTATAGTGTTCAGAGTTGTGCAGATGCCAGCAAATAGGCAACGAAATGAACGTTGTCCGCGACGACCGAAGATTGACGATCGCGTGTTGGTGTTACAGGTGGGCCGGGAGGTGGGGGGGGCTCTGGTGTAAAAATGACGCCCCAGGAAAATAAAAAAAACCCCATGAAATAAAGCAAACCGAATGTAAATACGGGACTTCTCCTTCTCATTCGATGACACAAAAGATTAAAACTAAGAAATACACATTCCACTTAAAGTGTGTAGTTCTGAGTTAAAAAAAGCATTAAAAGTGAACTACTTAAAAATACCCAAAACATTTCGTTTTATAAGCTCAAACTGAAACAACACTGTGCACACACACACACATATATATATAAACATGTGTACAAAGCCCATAAAGGCACAGAATGTTACTGTTTGTGTGTGCAAGTGACAACATGCCGACTTGATTAACCAGAGCAGTCGACTGTCAAACCCGATACTGATGCCCTGGTTTGACATTTTTGGGATATTTCCAACCCACCAATAAATTCCAAATGCCTCAATTCAGCTTCCAACAATGGGCGTCTTTTGTTCCATAACCAAAGCAATGCTTGGGGTCGGAGATAACGTCAGAGGACATGCAATAACAATAAACCACGATCACTGTCACAAAACGCGTGAAAAGCCGCACTCGAGAGCATCTGGTGCGCTTCATCGCGGAGTGAGCGTGCGTCTGCTAGCCGACACGCAGAGCCTCAATCCTCCAAAGTCTGTGGCGAGCTCCAGGCTCCTGTCGGCTTGATCTCGGAATAACAGACGATACGCCGAATCGATAATTAGGACCATACTGACCGCGCTGCAACAAAAACGCCACTCAAAGTGGTAAAAACTAGACAACCCAGAGAGACTCGGCGCGCGCGAGTGGATAGCTGCTCAACTGGCTTCTGCTTTGGCTTGTCAGGAGGTTGCTGGCGGCAGGGGAATGGGAGGGAGTGGGCATGGCGAGGGAGGGAGGTGGGGCAGGGTGGGTGGGTGGGGGGTGCAGGGAGCCAGGCATGAGGCCTGGGTAGGGGTAGCAAGTGGGGGGAGGGTAGAGAGGGGGGGGGGGTGATAGGAACAGGAGGTGCAGTCCAGACTGGCAGAGAGGGGAGGGAGGGGGCTGGATAAACTTATGCAATCTCCCGGAATACATTTCTGCCGCTCTGCTAATTAAAAATTTATTGAAGGAACAAGAACTGCTGACATAAACAGCTGGACTGGATCTGGACAAATCAGAGCTGGATGATTGATAACGCCTTTCCCCCCCACCCCATCTCTGATGCCAGGCCTCTTCATTAGACAAGGCCCTTTCTAACGGAATGATTGGAGCAGCTGCCTGTGCTCCCTGTGCTAATCTCAACCCAGGCTCTCCCTCCACGGCCCCACACCACCACCACCCATTACCCACAGCTTATTTGCTGATCCAACGGGCACAAACCCATCACAGTTATCTGCTCCTAAATCCTGAGTTTCATTTTAATTTCGAATTCCAAAATGTCTTATTAAAACATAATAATACCATGGCTCCCATCTAACAACAGAGCAGCGTTGACCCTTTATGATTTTCTTTCTGTTTCAAATTGGAAGAGTGGGCCAAGGCAAATATTTAAACGGAGATCTTGCGCGCTTTGCTCGGCCGGGCGACGCTTGTGACGAAACCCAAGCCGACATTTTAACTTATCGCCTTGGAATTCTACAGTTTGGAATTTCCATACTATCAGAATAATTATGCAAATGTCAATGTTGTTAATTCAATTTACTGCATGTGGAAATGCTTGCATGCTGTATAAGTAGTACTCGTTATTGAAATAAGTTTAAAGGTTTAAGTGATTCTTCAAGGACTAAGCAAATTAAAGACAAACTGTCCAGTAAGATATCTATGAGGCCTTTTTGCCAGTATCAAAATGATGAAAAAATAAGAATAAGCTTGACCCTTTCTGACAATAAGACAGATGTTAAGATGTTTAAACGCCAAATAGAAACCTATTGCAAGGCAGCAAGTCTGCATTAACCACACGTACTTGCGAAAAAACGTGCAAACAAACGTGCCCTGTGGTTAATGAAGATTTGTTGCCTTGCAATAGGTATCTATTTGGTGTTTAAACGTCTTAACACCTATTCTATTGACAAAACGGGTACGGATTTGTTTGAGATGGATTTGTTCACAATAAGAAACAGCCCAAACAGTGGAAATAAAGCCATAGATATTTTAACCAACACTAGCAATAATTTCCAGCCACATAAAATCAATGGCTACCTATATACAGGCATTTATATAGTAATTCAGTCACTTACATTTATACTTTGTGTGAACCAAGTCGAAAATCAGAAATATACAAGTACTGTATTAAAATAATGTAGAATAAAACTGTAGCTTTACTATCGCACCCCTGTGTGAAATTGATATTTGAACACCAGCACAAAAAAGCTGCAGTCGTAAGTCCATCATAATTTCCATTTGCTCCACTGGTACCGAGTGCCGATGTACCCTCAACAAGGCCAAAAGAGCCCGCCCCGGAGAAATGTCATTTTAAAATATTTAGCCTACAATATTCACCTTCCAAGCAATTTTGCAAATGTGCGGCCTGGCAATACTATTTTATGGACGGCATGTTTTTGAATCCTGTGCCACGAAGGAATGCTGTACAGCATAGCTGGTGTTGCCAGCAGCTGGTCAGCTGTCAAACAGCCGCTGACTTGCCAGAGACAGTCTCCGATGACGGGGCAATTGGAATGTTTCTCTTAGCAACTGGGAAACAGCATCCACTTTCATACGAAGCAAGGTAAGGGTGTGTTGCCCTCCCCCCACCCCCAGACATCGACAGCAGGATTTCTCAAACTCCAGTAGACCCACCACAGTGGCGAGATATTAACTCCCTCGCCGCATATGCAGAAGGCCGTGGGTTCGATCCAGCCCCTGACGCCTGTGTATATGGAGTTTGCATGTTCTCCCCGTGGTTCCGCGGAATTTTCTCCGGGTTTTCCCTCTACGTTTAGAAACATGCTTTTATAGTATTTGACTGCTATAAATTTTCACGTGATAAGCCACTTCGTTGAGCTATCATTTGTGGCCAGGAAGCTTCTGAAAAAGAGCCATATAGCTCAGTGGGCCTTGCCTAGTATTTTTTGTTGTATTATGTTGAACTAGTTTTAGTTTTATACCGTTTTACCTCCGTTCACATATACAATACACATTTACAAGCGTACGTGTCTGACGATTTGCTATAGACATTCTCTGCAATGTAGACGTACGTTGATTAATTTGAACCAGTGCTCTCTAAGTCACGTGGGACAATAGAAGAGACAAAGATCCCCCCATGCTCGGCTGCACCAGGTACTTATTTAGGCTGAAGTCCACAAAGGGGGAGGGGCCCAGGACTTGTTCAAATCTTCGTTACTTTTTATTGGTCGGGAGCAGGAATCGAACTCGTGTTGCCGGGTTCAGTGTCGTACGCTAACCAACACACATCCACCACATGTACACACAAAGACGTCGATGTGATATTGGAACGGAGTCGTGTACGTCCGGTGGGTCTATTTGAGTAATAACGACGCGCGTGCAGCGTGATAATATTTAATTTGTACCCCTACGGAGAATGGGTAAGCACAAAACGATGGACCATGGTGGGTTGCGAGGACTGGAGTTTAAAAAGAGAGCCCGATAAAGAGGTGAACCTATGACAATTTACCAGAAATGTGCCCCATCCCGTTGGACCTCAGAATGCTAAGCATTCTACACATGCCCACATGCACACGTTGTCCACATGTATGTGTGCATGATCTAGAGTGCACCGAGAATACGTTCCCAGACTAAACCCACTTTCCACCACCAAATCTCAGGTAGATCATTCGAGGAAAACAAAAAGTTAACCCAATGAATCGATGTTGGCTGTGACATCATACGTGCAAAGTTAAAATGACCTTGAACAGACTTGGTGAATCAGTGGTTCATCTTGCGTGTGCAGTATATAGATGTGTAAGCGAACGACATTCGCAGCGGCTTGTGGCTAACCATCGAACAAAGACCATCACTGCATCGTGAGCTTTCAGATGCGCTTCTGCGGCCGTCTGGAACGCTCTTCCTTCTGACATTAGAAAGCCACTGGGGCTTTGCACACTTTTAGGTTCATAATGAAAACTAATTTCTTTAGAACTGCTTTTTGTGTTTAGTTTGTTGTCCTTCCCCCGCACCTCCAATTAGCACGGTTGGCTATGTACGGTGCGAAAGAAGTTCAACATACATACATCACCGCTGCACGTCGTACATTTATCCAAAATCGCCGTGCAACACCGTGAAATGCAAGGCACGTACCTTGCCGTATCTTGTGGCGTATGAGCCCGTCAAGAGTGAGTGGAAGATGATAATCGTTTCATCCAAGTCCCAAATGAAAACCCTCTGAAAAACAAGCGCAAAATAACATTTTGTAAGATACAATCTTCACTGGAAATATGTCAATGGTCAGCTGTTTGTCAACTTTTGTTTTTACAACTCGTCAGTGAACAAGAAATAAACAGACCTGCTAGAACGGAATGTGCTCAACCATGCTCGTGTACCATGTACTGCGAGTTATGTGCTGGATTCGAAACCAATCATGGTGAATGAAATAAAAAAGCATCATAATTGTGTTCAGTTTCATTCCAATTAGAGTGGCAACTCAGTAAACTCCCGTAGTTATATGATAATGATGATGACAAACGTGTGTGGGTGACTAGCAAAGCAGATTTTTCAGTTATTTTCCAATGTATTTGATATTTAACTTTTTGTATCAGACCACGAAACAAATAATTACTTCATAAGTATTACAGAGCAGTGTGCTCTATCTGTTAGAAAACATCTGAAGAAGAGATTGTTGACAGGACTTAATAAATTTCAAGTGCATTTTCGCCCTTTACATCATAGCACCCTCAATAAACTGACATTCGACTGCAATTTGATCAAATTTAATGTGAAGCCAAATATAGTCTAACAACAGTTTGATTATGTAGCCACTGGGGGACCGGGGTTGAGACAATCAACTCGTGAAACTTGAAAGCCCCGTTTAATCACGGGCGGCTGCAACCCAGATCTGAACCCAGGATATCTCAGTGGTGCCCTCTCGGCCGCACGGACCTTTGAGCCAACCCCGGTCATCATCTCAGCAAAGCGAGATATTTCATAAACAAAATTGCAATTCAAGTTCAGACCAACAAACAAGACAGAAGCCCCACTTGGCAGAATTCCATGCACAGCGATGGTCATGCCCACGCGACCCCCCCCACCGCCACCACGTAGGAAAGAGTGAGAGAGGCACACGCTGCTTGTAAATCAGCGCCTGATGAAAAACACTGCCACCAAGGCATCTGTAACACGGGGTGTGCGTTCGCTTTGTTGTAATGTGCCACTAATTGATTTTATTTTCGTCGATTGCGCCTTCTAACTCGGATCCTTGCGCCTCCCTTTGAAGGTCCCTTAATACCATCACCTTTGATGATAGCGCATTAATTTTGGCACAACGGCGACGTTTACATTCAAACGACGGGCGTTGAAGCAGTGCGGCTCAACACCTTTGGTGAAGTGATTAATGTAAATGGGCTAATTAGGGCGAACCAATTTCAGCCTTTTAAGTTATATCCTTCCATGTGTATGCATGCAGGCATATACGTATGTTTAGCTACATGGGTGCAGTGTTGAGTGGACGGATGAATGGATGAACGGATGGATGAACACACAGATAAGGCAGGTATAGGCAGGTAAGTATGCATGCATGCATGAATGTACCGATGGGGGCATGTTTGTTGGTGTGGAGGCAGGTGGAGAGATGACTGTGGTGGTACTGTACACATTTAGCTGTGGTCGCTAAGGTAGGACAAAATAGCAAGGCAGGAAGGTGGCCACTGGTAAATAGATAAATACCACATACAAAAAGCATTTGTAGATTGGCATAAACACAAGTACATAGAAAATACAATCGAAGGCACATTATAAGACTGGTATGCCATTAGGTAGTTGGACAAGTAAAATAGGTAAGCATACGATTAGGTAGGTAAGTATATGATCGTGTACGGCAGTAGGTATGCAGGCAGCCAGGCATGGAGATAAGTAAATTAATAGGTTGGCAGTGAGCATGAAGTGATGCATTGATTCAACTATTGTGCAAGGTGCTGGGGGGAGGGATTGTTGAGCGATGTCGATGGCTTGGGGAAGCCATCATCCAGCGGTGGATTGAACATGACTGATTATGATGATAAAGGCAGACTGACCTCCAAGTCTCCATCGGGAGGTGGAGAGGGGTTATTCCTTCTCCCGCGACCCCTGGATTTTCCGCCGGAAGCGCGGCGCGTCCTCTCCTCGGACTCCTTCCCGGGTGTCGTGGGGCTCTGCAGGGTGCCGTACTCCGCTGCCGGGGCAGGTGGAAGGGAGACACACGAGGCAGCCTCGGATAACTCACGCTTGTATGCATGGCGTTTGTACAAACGGTGAACTTCTTTCGCACCGCACGAAGCCAACCGTGCAAATCGGAGGTGCAGTTGTCGCGGCGTTCAGGGGGGGGGGACATTGAGCGCAGCTTGGATGGTGCCGTTTTTTTTTGTCATAAGTGATGCTTATAAATAACTAAGCACTGGCCGCGCATTTGTGCAGGATACAACATTCTGCGCGGAGGGTGGGCCTTGGGGAGGGGGCACGAGGTCAGCGCGGGGCACAAACTCGGCTCACAACGATGCAGCATGCGGGTGACGTCACCGCGCAGGTGTGAGAGGCGACGTGACCCGCGTGCCAGCCAGCAAAACTTTTTTTCCGATATAGTACGATAAAGGATGGGATGAAGCAGCGATGTGTGGCCGTTTTTTGAGCGATGCGCTATAATCACGGTGACCCGAGTTCCATTCTTGGCCATGGCTAAAATCAGTGGCAAGTGGAATCTCAACCAGCCATGGCCACCACGCCCCCCTTACCAACTTAACGGACCACATGGTGAAGAATGGCCAAACACACGCCCCTAGCTAACATGGATTGGAAGGTCTTCATCCAGCAGTGGACAGATCATGACCAGTGATGATGATGATGACCATACATTTTCAGTGAAACACTGTGAACCAGGAAGCAATCTGGTACCTGGCTGACAAAGCCTTTAAGCTAAAAAAAAGATATTAGCCACTGCAAAACATAAATATGCTCCAAAATGAGAAGACGACTATTTAATTCCCCCATGGACACAGGCTGGGGGATACCACATTGGTAAAGAGCAGTGGCTTCCAATTTGATGCGTGCTTCTCGTGATTTGGGCAGCTTCCAGACAGATGTCCTGATAAACAGGACACACACGGGCCTGCTGGTTACGTAAAGGTTGAAAGACTGCAGAGACTAAAACAGAGGTCATGAGCACAGCCTCATTACTAGCTAGCGCCTGAGGAAAAAGACTTGGCATGGAAATGGTCGATGCCGCTCATTTTCACTTCATTCTATTGCAGTATCAGGAAGCGAGCAGTGGCAATGGAAGGCTTGGCAGCTTTTACAAGTCTATAAAACATATTGTTGCAAGAAAATTAACAGTGCTCACTTAAAGGAAGGTTCCACATTCATTTGCGGGCGCGTGTCTACCTAGCCTGGCACAAGCAACCTTCAGTAACACGAGCGGCAATGGCACGGCAGTGTTGCTGTGCTGTGCGCGCTTTTTTTTTACTGACGGCAGGAGAGCGGGGCAGAACTCTAAAGCGGGTAGCCGTTGCGTTAAACGGGTCAGGAGCCGTCACTTTGCAACCATTGGGGTAAGATCTTGTCAGATTGAAGATAACTGCGAAGCAGACTACAAGCGACCCCCCCCCCACCATGTTATTATGATGATGGATTCTGGAAAATAAAATTAACAAATAGTTTTCAACATTTGTGAAAATATCAATTCACCAAAATTTTTTAGTCGGCGGGGGGGGGGTTTGTTGTACTCAGATCACTCTTTCCCTCAGGAGGCTGATAATCCATCTTGTGATGAGCGATGATGATAGCAGTGGTGATGACGGCTATGTGAAACCCTCATGCTACACTGCTGAATGTACGATAACGATAATGAAAGGCTCAAAACTTCTTAATCTTGTGGAGAATGTTGTGGAACTTTAAATATCTGCACACAGGCACAGAAACGTGCCTTGTGACCCTCTCTGGAACCAGTCCGAACGCCAATGGTCAGAGCAACCATTAATAGGCATTGGAACGATAAGATATGTGAATGATGAATACTTGGCTACACCATCACCAACACTTAATTTGAATACAAAATGAGAGTTTGATGAGACTAAACATATATCTTTTTTTTAAAAGATACGAGTAATAAACGAGAAAGCCATTAACAATATTATGCAGGGTCAGAATACCACGGCGATAGACAAACAAAACATGAAATTAGTATGAATCAGTCAGGAAACTCTGCAAATGATATCAGTGGAGACAGAAGTTCCAATAATTTAAATTTAGCTTGGCTTAACATCAGTGCATACCGTGCCACACAGAGGTCCGTGTAAATTGTACCACACAGCCCAGCGCCCGACTCCTCCGCAATCAAATAAACTGGTAATTGTGGCCCGACACACCAGCCAAACCGGACTAAATTTTCACAAGGAATACAGGGTCAGAGACTGAAGGTCGCACTTGAACCTGACAAATGATGGTCCCCTGTAGGATTAACACCTGTTCCGCATTTCACAGAACCTTGCCTGATTTCTTGTCAATTTGAAACGCTCATTGTAAATGTGCAACAGGAATTCATAGTTATCGTGTGGCGACCGAACTTTAAACGCACGGTCAACAGGCATTACATGAAGCTTAAGCAGAATGACGGCGAGTAAAGAAACGTTCTAAAATAGCGCTCCCTTCCCGCGAGACTAGAACACAAATCGCATGTGCTGCACGGCGGACACAACACAGGCACCACCCCCTCATGACGAGCGTGCGCTCCTCATTATTCCGCTTCTTCTCAGCCAGAAGTCCCATTAATATGCGGGGTCAGCTGCTCCGATTGTGTCTCTCGATGAGCTTCTATTCGGCTCTTCTTCTTTTCGTCGCTGCTGTCGACCGTCCCCCCCCCTCATACCTCGCTCCCCCACATTCTCCCATCTCACCCTTGATCTCCCTCTGCTGCCATCTGCCCTGCACCGACAGTATCTCCAATGCCTTTCTACTAACTGCATCTTCTTTTGCCTGTTCTCAACGCAATCCCAAACTGTCCAAGTCTCGCCTCCCTTACCTACTCAACACTATCCGTAACCGCTGCCAAGGTGCCGATTGTTTCACATTCCACCTCATTTGTCAACATATATCTCTGCCATTTCAAGCACTCATCTCACTGTTTTGTTACCTCAGTGCCGAAGTCACTGCAGCATATAAACGATGGGCACACACACGTACCTATAACAGCACTGGTCGCATCATCACCCGACATATTTAATTATCAGTTTTACTGGCTTCTCTCTGCTTACATACAATTCCTGTAACCCTACTTCACTTATGCCATCCTGCCCCAACTCGTTCAAATCTGTTCATCTCAAATTGCGAGTCTCCAGTGAGCCTGGACGAATTGACAGCCCTTCGCTCGGCCAGTTATTAATAGAGCGGAGCTGTATATATTTATCTTTGCTGCTATTGTTCGTCAGGACACGTTGTGTATAGCGACTGCGCAGTTGGCAAACCCCTCTCTATTCAAGACAAGGCGAGGACAGGGCGTGCATACGGCAGCACTGACTCGGCGGGTGGCGGAGCGCACAACGCGGCCCAACCACAATTTGGATTCGAAAAGCATCCCGAATAGGGGTCGGCTACAAAAATAACAATACAAGCAATGCACGTGAACACGAGAGACGGTGGTCCTTACTAAATGACGTCACGAGGCAGAGTCGAAGGTTGCCGACGCCCTGGTCTAGATGCAACCACCGCCTCTCGCCAGACCCCAATCAATCGATCAAACTTTATTTCTATAGCACTATTCGTGCAAAAAAAATGCAATACGTTGTGCTTTACAGGCATGAACAGTCAAAGTGAAATTGTAGGCAAAATAAAATCACGTTGTAACACATTTCTAGCAAAGACATAATAAAAATAACACATTAATACAATCCTAATTAAAAGCAAGTTTCAAATAGTTTTTAGATTTGTTTTAAAAGTGTTTAATGATTCTGAAGCCCTCAGGATCCCCTGGCAGGCTGTTCCACAGGCAAGCACCGTATACACTAAAAGCTGCAGCAAGATGTGCACTTTATTATAATTATTATAATAATGCCCTGTGTTTGTCCCAGAGTGCCTCATTAACTATTCTTCTTCAGGAGGGTACTGTGCACTGGGGATGTTTGGCCAGTTCCACGAATTCATTTTTTTTTTAGTCTCCACCCTGGGAAAAAGCCGGAAGTGCCCGGAGACAACCCGTCATGGCATGCACTGGAATTCCTCGGCCACCACGCAGTCGCAGCATGGCGGGAGCCTCACCAATGTAACGTGACCAGCGAGAGGAAAAGGAGGGACGCGGTTTTGCCTTCAGGCTATAAGGGCGGCGGGTCAGGGGAGAGGAGCGATAAGAGGAGCGATAAACGAGGGTTACCCGCCCACGGATAACGTCAGTGGCGAGCGAGGCGCGAACCGGTCCTGGGTCTTCCTCTGCGCCAACCTGAACTGACCAGCACGGTGAAGTATGTTCAATCAGGGGGGGCGGGGGGGGGCAGGTCGCGGGCCGGTGGCGATGTCGTACCGGCCTGGCTGGTAGTGATAGGCGCCGGCTCCTGCAGGGTATAGGTGGCAGCCGTGGCGGGCGGGGTGGACGGGCTGCTGCTGCTGTTGGCCATGTAGGTGCCGTAGGCGGCGCTCGGGTAGTACTGCCCGACGGCGTACTGCCCCTGCGGGAAGCCGGCGTATGACGAGTACTCCTGCAGTTGCGGGGCGGCACACACGGCGGGGACGAGTTGGCGATGCGCGACATGCACGTTGGCGAAGACGTTAGTTTGTTGTACTTCCCCTGCACCTTCGATTAGCACGCTTGGCTACGTACGGTGCGCAAGAAAAGTTAAACATACGTACATTTTATTTTTGCGTGATGGCAATATGTTCAGGAGGTCAATGACAATGTCAAGGTCTGCTAATCGCGAGAGGGTGTGCAGTTTTGCTATTCCTCCTCCATGCAAAGATCACAAAGCTAGTGGTTTACTACATGGTTGATGGATTTAGTTGTATGGTGACAGTCGCACTGTGGTTTGTCTTTAACGTTCCATTTGTGAAGGGGATATGCATCGGCCTGTTGTTGCGATGTTTGGGTCTCGAATTATGTGTTTATTCTGGGCGATAGAAGATGTTAAGAGGCAATAGCGGCAGACCCTAGGGGTCTACAGCAGCGCTGTTAACTGCAATTACAATTTCATTGTGATGCAATTAATTACCCGTCAAGCAACTGCAATCGACCCCAGGTCTCAATCATGGCTGCTTTCTAAAAACAACTTTATGAATGATCTGTAATTAAACAGCAATGCCACCATTTATTTGCACCTGATAATTGAGCTAAAAGCCATCAAGAATGAATTACTCACCAACGCTTACGAGATGTAATTGACGCATCAGGGAATAATTGCTTAATGTCAGGCTACATGCATCGAATCACGTGTGTTACGATCAGTTTTCCGATGCAATAAACCCATTCCATGTTGTATACAATGAGTTCACGTGATCCTTGCATCCATTCGTGACCACTACATTCATTCCACTGGCAAAACATTATCAATTCTTTATCAAACTGAAACCTTGAACCATGACAATTAATTAAATCAATTGGGGGGGGGGGGAAGGCAGGCAGGTGGGCGGGGATCATTACGCCTATCATGCTGAGTGTTTGAAATTTGAAAAATAGTTTGAGATATCACTCGCTACTGATGTTGGCTGTGGCCAAAAAATCTAACTCAGAATATGATGGGGTTTAGAGTGCAGTGCGCGCTAATCACTACCGCCACCAACCATTTCCGATTCACATTTTCCTGAATGTATTGTCGTCCACGTTTCGTGTATTGTGTGCATCACAGGAAGGAGGGGCAGGAAACAGAGACTTGATGGACATGATGCTCTAGGGGAATCCACATTCTGTAATTTAATGTATGGTTTAATTTGAAACACCTTCCACTATAATCTGGACTGAACTTAATCTACTATAATCTGGACAGAACACTTGCAGTGATTTTTTTATCTGATCAAATAGAGCAAGACTGAGAAATAACTCATTCTAATTCCCTTCCCAAACCAATAAACGCCAACCATGTTGATTTTCACCTATACACCACCTGAGGAAGATTGATAAAGATACTGTATAATATAAAAAATTACGCATCAAAATTCGATATTATACATACAATAAAAAGGTTATTTAAAATAATAACAGGGTACTTATAATCAATTGTAAAGGAGTACCTCAGTATGTTTGCCAAATGGCCTTCCTTGAAGAAAACCAAAAAATATCAGGATTTATACCTTTTTTTTCATCACCTATTTTATCTTCCCTTAAAAAAATGTACGTTCAGCGCGAACATATTCTGCTTCATCCTTTAGCCGCGAAGCCAAGTGAGCAATCCACAACGTTGGGGAGACGCGGACACGTTATGCCCCGAGAAGGGCTCACTGGGGACACGTACACTGCCTACAGCATTGTGCATGTGCGAGTGCATCCACCACGAGCGTAACCAAATTTACATTGGCATCGGCGAATGTCCCGAATTTATAATTTTACCACGGCTCGCCACTTATCACATGCCGTCTTTACGTAACGCGTCTTGTACGTGCGCTGTCGCCCCCCGTATCTATTTTGGCTCGTGACTCCCACGATAAGGCCATCACCAGGACCACACTGTAAACATGGCACTGCATCTTAATCAGCGGCCATCAAGGTTAAAGTGTTTTTAATCAGCAAGTGAAAAAACCTAAGGAAAGTTAGCATTATCAAATTGAGTATATTAATATGCACAGCAGTTACATTGCACACAAACATATTACAATATACAGCAGTATGTTAACGAATGGGCTCAGAGTATGGCTAAATTTAGACGTTTTCCACGAAACTTAAAGGAATCACTGTGTCCTGTATATTTAAGTACGTAACATTCAAGGTTGTATACTTGGTGACGACATTGAGACACAAGTTTGCTCCTCTTGCAAGTGTTACTGGGGTTTCAAGGCCACATTTTCTCAGGTGGGAAGTCCCCAAAGCAAATATGCACTGATTCAATGTTGCCACAGCTCACTATCACGCAACATCAGTGGAGTTGTGGGAGGGGGGCAGCTGAGATCAGGCCTCAGAGTCGGCCACAGGCCGGCTGGAAGTAGAGAGAACCGCCCAGCCATGCCGCCCAGCCATACCTCACAACTCCTGGTATCAGCGGCAGCCGACCGACCGAGAGCTTCGCTACGCTGAGTGACGACTCTAACGTACGATCAACAACCTTGCAGTCGGACGTCACGGCGTCAAGCGCTGAACCCGCAGCGAAGCGAGAGCCCGCACACCCGCACGGACGGCCCCACCCACCCAGCCAGCATCGTCAGCCAAACGTGCGGCGCACACAGAGCCCAAACACACTCGGCCGCCATCACCAAGGAAATGGACACGGAGTCTCGTTTGAAAGTGCCAGAAAGATAGCTTCGGCAGATACCGCCAGCGTGATTACGAGGTACCTGTTGAGAGCTGCTGAATCCTGCCGAACTTGTGATGGAATTGCTCGGAGGGTATATCCCCGAAGCGGTCGTAAAGCTTCCTCCCGCTGCAAACAACGCGAAGACACAGTGGGTGGGGGGGGACAAGAAGGCGGCACGTCAAGAACTGACACAAAACAAAACAAAAATCCGCCTAAGAGAACCCGGCCTGGCGCCGCTGACACACTCTCGCGAGCGCGGGCGCGGGCCCGGGCGATAATTTTTCACGGTTATTTTTCGTACGCGTTCTGGTGGAGTGGCAAACACCGGGCCGACCGGACTGGCTTAAGACATAAAAAAAAACGCAAGAAAGCAGCTCGCGCAGGCTGCCGCTGGATTAAGAGCCGTCACATGCGGAGCACGCGCGTCACCTGCGCGCGGGACACAGGCGGGCACCTCGATCGGCGCAGGCCCCCAAATGGCTCCCAAGAACTTCCTGCGGCTCAAGCGAAGGGCGCGAGGAAGTTATTAGGGGGGCTAACGTGCTGCTGTTTTCGCTTGCTAATGGCACAAAAATGGATGCAGATGTCAGATTTTTCTTCGCGCACAAAAAAAATACCGGCCCAGTGGACACGCGCGCGCGCGTGTGTGTGTAAATGATCAAAAAATAAACACCGAAAATATGCTTGATGTTGAGTTTTGTTTGAATTAGCACTGCAGGTATAAATATCAACGTACATTTACTTAAAAAATAAAGGCAACAAAACATAATTTTATCCACTTCACAAATTCCACTCTATTTAGTTTCGTCTGCAAAAATATTCCAAGTTAAAATCCTTTCAATAAATATGGAAATACATTTTTGGGCTGGCTTTGGACGTGTTATTCTGGTCTGGGCAGGGAGTCAGCCAGTCAGGTAATTCCTAGCTGTGGGTCACACACACTTGCTGTCAAGAAAAACAAATACTCACACCTCATTCCACTTCTTGCTGCGCCGCGCTGACAAGGGGTTAACACCACATTCTCATCGTTGGCCTCGAAATTCAGACTCCACAAAAATCTCTGTAGATGCGCCAGAAGGTAACCTCGTTTAAGCCGCGCTTGTGCAGAGAGGGGAGCACCGTCATGGGAACAATGCAACTTGTGTGAGGCAGAGAATTTCATTGGACTCTTTACAATCTGGTCTTAATAAATGTAATAAGCTACAGAACGTTAAAAAAGGGGGAGGGGGGGGGGAGACGACGGGGTGGGTGGAGGGAAAAGGTCTTCACGTGCATAATCGTGACTGCTGGGAGAAAACAAGCCCTCCAGCGGTAAACATCTTCTGTTCGGGGTGACTTCAAGGGTCAACGTCCAAGTATTTACATAGCTTTGATGTTCACCAATTGCCTGGTCATGGAATTGGTTTGGTGGAGGCCCATTTTGACACTGTTGTTATTGATGTTGTGGGTGGGGGGCCTTTTATGCAGATCTGAGAAAGGCATTCTTAATTTGTAGTTTCCAAAACTAAAAACAAGCACCTCCCCCCGAATCTATGAGAATATTTCTCCCTTCCTGGGCAGAGCACTCCCGTAATCTCGTTTGGCATAAAATGAAAGGATTAGCAACCTAGACAATAAAACAAACCCACAATAAAAGGCGGTTATTATACTGCGAGAGCAATGGCTGCTTTGTGAAATAAAAACCGCACGTATTCATTTTTCCCGACACTTTGGGTACAATAAAGGCTCTGCCACAGGCATGCACTTAAATTGTTAAAACGCTCTCGTTGATTTACGGCGGTGTGCATTTCATCAGCGAAATCGCTCTTCCCATATGTATCCAGGAGTCAGGTGCAAGGACAAACACAGCGTTATACTGCGAACAGCTCAAGGTGTGGAGTGGTGGTGAAGTGGTCAGCGCACTGCGCTATGAACCAAGCGACTCCCGGTCTCAGCGAACATCAGCAGTGTATGTATGATGAACTTCTTTCGCACCGTATGTAGCCAACCGTACTAATCGGTGGTGCATGGGAAGGTCAACAAACTAAAAATAAACAGCAGTTCTAAAGAAATGGGTTTCAATCAAGATTTAAAAGTACATAGCTCCAGTAGGGTATCTAATATCGGAGGGAAGAGCATTCCAGACGGCCGCAGGAGCGCATCTGAAAGCACGTGATGCAGTGTCCGTCTTTGTTCGATGGCTAGCCAAAAGCCGCTGGGCAGTGGTGAAGTATGGCCAAACAACGCCCCATTGACCGACGTGGCATAGGTAGGCCTTCTTTCAGCAGTGTACTGGGCAAAGGGTTGTATGTTATTTTCGTTATACTGTTTCAACAACGCAAGGCTGTTCCTCTTGTGTTGTATTTGTCGATAACTACTGTAAGGCACACAAGTAGATGGGAATAAGTGTTTCACTCCTATTCAGCAACATCAGCAAAGATGAGCGTTTTGAATTAGCTCAATTAAAAAAGAGGGATGACATTGTCATCCTCTCAGCCGACAAAGGCAATGCCACTGTCATCATGGACAAAATAGAATACAACAACAAAATTCAAGAACTACTCAACGATGGCAGCTATACAAAAATAAAAAGAGACCCCACCAACAGCCTCGTCTCCAAAACCAACAACATCATTTCTGCTTCAACCGCATTAATTGATCAGACCAAACAGTTCTCGTTGAAACCTTCTGCAGTCAGGCCACCAAGATTGTACGGCTTGCCAAAGATACATAAAGAAGATACACCTCTTCGTCCCATTGTCTCTACTATCAACTCCCCCACTTACAAACTGGCTCGTTTTTTGTCCGAAATCCTACGGCCTTTCACTGGAAAAACCACCTCTGCAGTACTAAACTCTACTGACCTGGTATCGACAATCAAGGGGATTGCCCTGTCCCCAGACGACCTGCTTGTCAGTTTTGATGTGGTTTCCTTGTTCACCAAGGTGCCTGTGCCTGACACCATCGCAATCATTGAAGACTTGGTTCATCAAGGACTGAATGCTGGGGTACCCCCCCTGGTGAGACACTGCTTAACCAATACATACTTCACCTGGAATGGAACCTTCTACAAGCAAATTGAGGGCACCCAATGGGCTCCCCCCTATCTCCGGTTGTAGCCAACATCTTCATGGAGAAATTTGAGACGGACGCCATCCAGACTGCCACTCTACGCCCGACCTTATGGAAGAGGTACGTAGACGACACTTTTGTCATCTGGCCACATGGCCGGCCTGCTCTAGACCAATTTCTCGACCACATCAATTCCATGCACCCAGCCATCAGATTCACCATGGAAGTCGAAAATGATGGCAAGCTACCCTTTTTGGATGTCCTAATCAAAAGGAGACCTGATGGTTCAATGAGCCACTCTGTCTACAGGAAAGCCACCCACACGGATGCTTATCTAAAACCGGATTCCCACCACCATCCATCCCAGAAGAATTCCCTCATCAAGACTCTATATCATAGAGCCCAATGCATCTCCGACCATGAACACATTTCCAGTGAACTCAAACACGTACGCCAAGCTCTTAAGGCTAATGGTTACTCCGACTACACAATCCGCAAAGCCATCACTCCAACCATCAAGAAGGATCCTGTTGAGGAGCCTTTCAAGACCATCACCTTACCCTACATTGCTGGGGTCACAAAAAAGATCTCCAAAATCCTGATTAAACACAAGATCCAGGTCCGATTCAACACAGTACATAAAATCCGTGATCTGGTCCCGTCTGTAAAAGATGTGGTTCCAGACATACAGTATCCTGGCGTCTACAAACTAAGTTGCCTCTGTGGTAGCAGTTACATTGGAGAAACCAAACGACATGTCTCGGACCGCATCCGTGAACATAAGGCAGACCTGAAACACGGTAGGACAAACACCTCAGCCGTGGCAGATCACTGTTACAATTCAGTGGGCTCACATGACATTGACTTCTCCAAGACAGAGGTTCTCTGCAAGCCATCTGGCTATCATGAGAGATTCGTTCATGAGGCGATCCACATATACAAACACAGAGACAATTTCAACCGAGAAGATGGATTCTGGCTTAGCAATCATTGGAAGGACGTAATAAACCATTTCGGATCTTAACTGATTGTGTTCACGTTTACGGTGACTTTCAGACCGCGTTCCACTCACTGGCATGGTGCAGTGTGCAGAGTAATGTATGGTGTCGTAATTGTATAGTAAACATATAGCAGTGTGATACACATTAGGGTGGGTAGAATAATACATATTGTTATATTAAAATGGATAAGGCAGCAACTGCAGCAGCAGCAAGTGCAGCAGCAGCAGCAACTGCAGCAGCAGCAGCAACTGCAGCAGCAGCAGCAACTGCAGCAGCAGCAGAAACTGCAGCAGCAGTAACTGCAGCAGCAGCAGTAACTGCAGCTCCCTTTGATGCTGTTAATCCTGCATAATGCACATGCATATGCAGTACTAATCACATTCCTGCATTTCCCATAAATATGCTAAATTCCTTTTGCTATGCAAATTCCTTTGTCTATGCGCCCAGCTTATATATATGCTCCTAGCTCGTGTGCTGTTTCATTCAGACTGTCGCCTCGACGGACCTGGTTTTCACCTGAGGACGGCTGCTTGCGTTGTGGCCGAAACGTCGTGAGAATTGTTTTATTATGTTTAATTTTTATTATTTTATTACTTCCCTTCTACGTGACTTTACCGAAAGAACCAAGAAGATGAGATCATATATGTTTGACTCAAGACTTAAAGCCATTTCAAACGTTATGCTGAGCATGCTTTAACAGTGAAACCAATGTCCAGACATTGTTATTTGAAGACCCAATTTTGGTTTTAGGATTTCTATAGCTAAAGCCATAAAATCAACTACATTTGTGCAAGATTTCAGCTTTTCAGCTCTTTTTGAACATAAGTATAAATGACACCGGGCAGTCAATTACCATCATCTATATATATCGGATGTAAGTTGCATGTGATCTAGGGTGGACTGGTGACGCACTGCGCTATTAACTCAGCAACAAGTTCAATTCCTGGTCACTTGATATCATTAATGGCGAGTGATAGCTGGACTGATCAGCATGGTAAAGTATGGTCAAACATCCCTCATAGGGAGGTCTTCATCTAGCAGCTTATTGACAAAGGGCTACACTGTACATGCGCA